TGCTTCTACTGCTGCTGCTGCTGCTGCTGCTGCTGCTGCTCAGATTTGATAAGGAGCTTCGATCGGGGTGCACGTCCTATTTCAATGTTTTGTTCTGCGATGGTGGCGTTGAGCGCATGCAACGACGACCAAAGTTTATTATTTTCTTCGTTTGCTTCTATGAAGCATATTGCGACAAGAAATACATGCATTATCAGGGCTATTGCTGCTGGATTTACAATTGCTGCAAATATTATTAGGAAAGTTTTTATTTTCAACATATCTATACACTCCAAATCCTACATAAAAGGGGTTTACCCTTCACCTGCATCTAGGGTTTAGGGTTTAGGGTTTAGGGTTTAAGGCTTACAGGGAGAGGACTAACAGGGCTTAGTATTCTGAATGCAGCAAACAAGCTATGGTCTTTGGGGCTTGGATAATTGGGGCTTGGATAATCGAGGGTTTAGGGTTTAGGGTTTAGGGTTTAGGGTTTAGGGTTTAGGGTTTGTGTGTATAGACACTTGGAGGGCCTGAGCTTCGTTGAACCCCAGGAGGGTTTGGGGCTTGTAGAGAATTTCCTCTATATGATTGACAAGCAACCACACAGCCCTGTTATTGTTCGAGTAGGGTTTAGGGTTTAGGGTTTAGGGTTTGGGGTTTAGGGTTTAGGGTTTAGGGTTTGGGGTTTAGGGTTTAGGGTTTAGGGTTTCTGTTTTTGGGATTTCGTATTGTTTCTGCTTCTTTGCGGTTATTGTTGATAAGTTCATGAGGGTTGTGTAGGGCTTGAAGGGTTTAGGGTTTAGGGTTTAGGGTTTGTATGCAGGCCTTGGAGTTGTTGTTTATTCTGCATGCGGAGCATGAAGCAAACAGCAGCACTGCTGCTGTAAGAAGTGCAGCAGCAACACATACAAACCTCTTTGCTTCTCTTGCTGCTGGTGTTGCTGTCTTATCAGGAAACAAGCACGGGGTCAGATACTTAGGGTTTAGGGTTTGGGGTTTAGGGTTTAGGGTTTAATGTCGACGGTTTAGGGTTTAGGGGGTGGGGTTTAGGGTTTAAGGCTTAGGATTAATGTATATTATCTATTTATTTATTTATTATTTATTTATTTATTTATTTACGCACTTACTGTGTAAACAATTAACCAACTATCTAATTTATTTACGATTTATTTATTTGTTTATTTACCTTTTATATATTTATATATTTATATATTTATATATTTATTTATTTATTTATTTAATTAATTTAATTAATTAATTAATTTATTTATGTATACAGAGTGCGAACGAGGCGGTGGTGCAGATGTTGCAGCGAATTGAAAAAGAAGAAAATGTACAAACATTTATTGAAAAAGTTAAAAGGAGAGAAGTACGCAAACCCTAAACCCTAAACCCTAAACCCTAAACCCTAAACCCTAAAACCTAAACCCTAAACCCTAAACCCTAAACCCTAAACCCTAAACCCTAAACCCTAAACCCTAAAACCCTAAACCCTAAACCCTAAACCCTAAACCCTAAACCCTAAACCCTAAACCCTAAACCCTAAATTGATAAGTTTGAAGGCAGTTTCAGCAGTTTCAATATGCCCCATAGAGAATGAAATTCTACTGTTGCTGCTGCCCTGTTGCTCCTGTTGCTGCTGCTCCTGCTGCTCCTGCTGCTGCCCTGCTGCTGCTGCTGCTACTGCTGCTGCTGCTGCTGCTGCTGCTGCTCCTGCTGCTGTTGCTGCTGCCCTGCTGCTGCTGCTGCTCCTCCTCCTCCTCCTCCTACTACTACTACTACTACTACTGCTACTACTACTACTACTGCTGCTGCTGCTGCTGCTGCTGCTGCTGCTGCAGGAGCGTTTGATGGGTTTCGGGCATCGGGTGTATAAGAGTTATGACCCCCGCGCATTTATAATTAGACAAGTCGCAGCAATTGTTTTCAATGCACTCGGCACTTCAAGACTTTCTAAAGTTGCACTTGCTCTTGAAGAAGCGGCTTTAAAGGTATATATATAACCTTATTATGCAAACCCTAAACCCTAAACCCTAAACCCTAAACACTCGGCACTTCAACACTTTTCAAAGTTGCACTTGCTCTTGAAGAAGCGGCTTTAAAGGTATATATATATATATATATATACATATATTTATATAGCCTTATTATGCAAACCCTAAACCCTAAACCCTAAACCCTAAACACTCGAATCCCCTAACCAGAAAACCGTACGCCTTCATCCCGCAAATGCTCCAAACCCTAAACCCTAAAACCCTAAACCCTAAACCCTAAACCCTAAACCCTAAACCCTAAGCCCTAAGAGGTTGTTGGTTTGTGTGTATAGGATGTTTATTTTACTTCTCGTCGTTTATACCCGAATATAGATTTCTACAGCGGTGTGGTGTATAGGGAGCTAGGGTTTGAAGTAAAGTTTTTCTCTCTATTTTTTGCTGCTTCTCGATTAGCTGGCTGGTGTGCACATTTAAAAGAGTTTTATGAAGTAGATTTAAATAAAGAAGAAGCAAAAATGCAGAGGCCTCAGCTAATATACAAAGGTCAAGGAGAAAGATTTATCAAAGATAAAAACCCTCAAGATAGAGAACAGGTGAGGGTTTAGGGTTTAGGGTTTAGGGTTTAGGGTTTTGTTCCCGTTCATATAACGCAGATATTCAAAGATTTTCAAGGGTTTGCAAAGGGTTTACTGAGGGTTTATAAAATGTTTATTAAGGGCTTAGCGAGGGTTTAGCGCTGGGTATATATATGTATATAAATATATATATATATATATAGTTATATATATATAGTTATATATATATATATTATAGTTAGGTATGATATGCATATGAATATATATTATATACATTCTATATAAAAAATATATAATATATATGCATTAAATGCATGTACATAAACCCTAAACCCTAACCCTAAACCCGTGAATATAAAATAAATAATAATTATTTATTAATTAATATTTATTAATTAATTTTTTTTGTTTTTGTTTGCCTCACAGATTGTCTCAGCCTCACAGACTGAAATATTACACTCCTACGCAGACCGCAGAAGAATAAACCCTAAACTCTAAACCCTAAACCCTAAACCCTAAACCCTAAACCCTAAACCCTAGTGGATGCTAAACCCTGAAGATGGTTTAAAGGGTTTTGCTCGAGTTTTCTCATGCAAATGCAGACTGATTCAGAGACCAGATCTGCAGCTCCCCTCTAAACCCTAAACCCTAAACCCTAAACCCTAAACCCTAAACCCTAAACCCTAAACAATAAACAGTAAACCCCAAACCCTAAACCCTAAGGCGTCAGCTTCACCGACTGCAGCGAGAACCATCATGTCTGAAGCTGCATCCCTTGTGTAAGGTTTAGGGTTTAGGGTTTAGGGTTTAGGGTTTAGAGCTACTTCTGCCCGAAGAAGTCTCGAATAATAACCAACAAAATATCTACAGCAGCCAGCTGATGTCGCAGCGCTGTTCTCCTCGCAGACAACCCTTGCTGCTGTTGCTGCTTCTGCTGCTGCTGCTGCTGCTGTTGTTGCTGCTGCTGCTTTCGTTGCCGCTGCGCTGTCTTCTGTGCTTGCTGGGGACTGCTGCTGCTGCTGCATTTGTTTTCAACTCGGAAGGGCAGCGGCTGCTGTAGCATACGCAGCAGAAGCTGCTGCTGCTGCTGCTGCTGCTGCTGCTGCTGCTGCTGCTGCTCTCCCTCTCCGGTGTATGTACACCCCAACAGCCGCAGCAAAATACCCCGTACACGAAGACAACGCCGACGCAGCTGCTGCAGCGAATAAGAAACCTCAAAACGCATCGCCTGCAAACAGCAGCAGCAGCAGCAGCAGCAGCCGCAGCAACAGCAGCAGCAGCAGCAACAGCAGCAGTGCCAGCAACAGCAGTACCCGCAACAGCAGAAGGAACAGCAGCAGCAAGAACAGCAGCAGCAGCAACAGCAGCAGCAACAGCAGCAGCAAGAACAGCAGCAGCAGCAACAGCAGCAGCAGCAACAGAAATCTACAAATGAAGATAGAAGAAGGCTCGGCCCCCGCACGCTTATTGCCGCAACTTAAAACCCTAAACCCTATACCATAGACCCTAAATCCTAAATCCTAAACCCTAAACCCTAGCTCGCATTACTAAGTAAACTTCTTCTGCAGCAAAGAAGAGGAAGAGCGACCAAAACGCAGAGGAAGCACGTATCACCTAAACCCTAAACCCTAAACCCTAAACCCTAAACCTTAAACCCTAAACCTTAAACCCTAAACCCTAAACCCTAAACCCTAAACCCTAGTAGGCATAATTACCTCGAGCTCATCTAAAGCAACGAGGACAGAGAACAGCCAAAAAAGCTGCGGAAGAGACGTTGGGCTTCCCGAGAAGCCGCAGCAACTGTCGGCTTCATCTGCTGCTGCTGCTGCTGCTGCTGCTGCTGTTGCAGCGCCGTTCGCTGCTTCAGTTGCGGCTCCTAAATCAGGTGCTTCTGCTGCTGCTGCTGCTGCTGCTGCTGCTGCTGCTTCTGGGCGTTGGCTTGTGTGGCGGTGCTGCCGCAGCTGCAAATCGAAATCCTGCAGCAGCACTTGCAGCAGCGAGCAGCAGCAACGCACATCATGCTGCAGCAGCAGCAGCAGAGTCGGAGAATATCTCCTGCAGTATAATCGCCACTCATCTTGGGTCCAGGAGCAGCAACGCAAAAATACTTTCTGCTGCTGCTGCTGCTGCTGCTGCTGCTGCTGCTGCTGCTGCTGCAGCTCTCGCTGCTCCTGAACCCATGTTCGAATTCTTCTGAAGAAGTCAAGAGCTTCTACCTCCCACTCAAGACGAGGCTGCTGCTGCTGCTGCTGTTGCTGCTGCTGCTGCTGCTGCTGCAGTCGCAGCAAACGAAGCACATACGTGGCGCTGCCGTTGCTGCTTCTACTCTTCTTACATACTTTCTCTGCACTTGCATTTGCTGAAACGCTCTTTGTGCTGCTGCTGCTGCTGCTGTTGCTGCTGCTGTTCCTGCTGCTGCTACTGCTGCTGCTGCTGCTGCTGGGTTCAGCAGCAGCAACACACTGAGGCAAGCTTTTGGCTTCGAGGTGTACAGACAGCAGATATGCCTCTGCAGCTTTCTGCATCATTTCCTCCTCCTCATCTCCAGAGAGATCTTGAGCTGCTGCTGCTGCTGCTGCTGCTGTTTCAGCAGCAGCAGCAGCTGCAGCAGCAGCAGCAACAGGAGACTCGTTCACTCCCGCTGCAGCAGAAGCCTCCGGTAGGGGGAGCGACTGCTTCAGCAGCAAATCATCAACACTGCTGGAGCGGCGGCGAGAAGAAACCGCAGCCATCCTGCTGCTGCTGCTGCTGCTGCTGCTGGCGCTGCCGAGTGTCCTATGGTGTGGGGCCCCAGCAGCAGCAGCAGCAGCAGCAGCAAACGAGTTAGATACGCTACAGGCTGCAGCAGATAATTCGTCTTAAGATCTAGCCGATGAAGGCTGAGAAGGACAACTAGGCTGCTGCTGCTGCTGCTGCTGCTGCTCCCACAGCTGCTGCTGCTGCTGCTGTTGCTGCTGTTATGTCTCACTGATTGTTTGTGCAGACCGCTGCTGCTGCAGTTGGTAGAGAGATAAGTTAAGTTTGTGTCTGCATATAGAATAATAAACAATTAAACAAATTAATTAAAGAAGAAAGCGAGAAAAGTATTTAAATATCTGTATCTCTCTCTCTTGCTGCAGCAAACCCCTGCTGCAGGTGTATGTACACCTCAAAGTTGTGTTGCTGCTGCTGTTAATATATATATAATCTGTTTGTTTTCTCTGCTTTCTCTTAAAATAATATTATTATTAAACCCTTAATAAACAAACAACAACTCTAAACCCTTGTGCTTCTTATACTGCAGCACAAACCCTCAGCTAGCAGCCAACCACCGGTACAGCAGCAGCAGCAGCAGCAGCAGCAGCAACAGCAGCAGCAGCAGCAGCAGAGAAGGGTTATGAGAACATTTTCAAGAAATAAACAAACTCGAAGACTCAACTAAGACTCATCTTCAGGTGTACGTACACTGCAAGCCTCATCTCCCTGTCAATATCTGCAGGTTAGCCCTAATAAACCCCAAACCCTAAACCCTAAACCCTAAACCCTAAACGCTTAACCCTTAACCCTAAACCCTAGAAGACGAGCTTTATCCCCTAATCTGGAGAGCGCTGTGGGGTGTTCTCTCCTGTGTTCCTAAGGTTTAGGGTTTAGGGTTTAGGGTTTAGGGTTTAGGGTTTAGGGTTTGTGTGTTATGTTATGCAGAAAATGCATAGAAATATGCCAGTAGATTTGGTGTTAGTGCGGCACGGACAATCCGAAGGAAACCTTGCTCAGCGTCTCTGTCGCCAGCAGCAGCAGCAGCAGCAGCAGCAGCAGCAGCAGCAGCAGCAGCAGCAGCAGCAGGGTTGTGATATTGTCTCTGGATCACTTGCAGCCTCCCCCTCAGCAACCCCAACCCCAGCAGCAACAGCAGCAGCATCATCATCATCATCAGCAGCAACAGGAGCAGCAGCAGCAGGAGCACCAGCAGCAGCAGCAGCAGCAGCAGCAGCAGCAGGAGCAGGAGGTGTCTCCTCTGTGTGGTCTAGCGAGTTTAGATCGCGACACAATTCTCTTTATCGGCTGACTGACAGAGGCAGACGCCAAGCAGCAATTGCTGGAGCCTGGATAAGAAGCAATGTAGGGACAGCATTTGATAAATACTTCACCTCAGAATATGTTCGGTATGTCTTTAGGGTTTAGGGTTTAGGGTTTAGGGTTTAGGGTTTAGGGTTTAGAGGGGTTAGGGTTTATAGGGTTTTGGGTTTATAGGTGTTAGTGTTTATAGGTTTCATGGTTTATGGTTTACGGTTTAGGGTTTTAGGGTTTAGGGTTTAGGGTTTATGGTTTAGGGTTTAGGGTTTAGGGTTTAGGGTTTAGGGTTTAGGTGTGTGATGAAGAGCAATGGAGACAGCAGCAATGCTGGATTTGCCTGCTGCTCGTTGGGTTACTGAGGTGTATCTGAGAGAAAGAGACAGAGGCATCCTAGCCAACAAAACGCATGCAGAAAGAGAGACACTGCATCCTGATGAAATGATAAGAAAACAAAGAAATGCATTCTACTGGCAGGCACGCACAAACCCTAAACCCTAAACCCTAAACCCTAAACCCTAAACCCTAAACCCTAAACCCTAAAC